ACTTTAGCTTCGTCTTAAGATCATCGAATCATGTTCCACATCTAGTGCACTGTCCAGAGTTCTATACAGCTGCATTACTAGTTGTTGTTTGTAGAACACGATTACATGAACCGATCTAGAATCAAATAACTAATGGTGGTGCCCTTCTGCATCCTAAAGGCGTGGTGTCTACTAATCTCAGTAAACTACTATGTGGAATATCGGGGAAGATGGACCACCAAGTGGGCGCTTGGGAAAAAAGCTGCAATCAGGAAGAGCTGGGTGGTAGACTGAGTACGGATTTTACCAAGAAACGTTTAGGAGTTTGGAGATACTCACACTGTTTGTGAATGGCACGCCCACTAGCAACTTCCTTTCGCCCGTTACTGGGCTCAGTAAACGCAGACTATCATTGTTCTGTCCCAACTTTTGCTATTTTACTGGACTACATAACCCTACTGTTCGTAGTTTTTCTGCCTGTCCCATTAAGTTGATACATTCAGATGTAGCGTGGAGCAACCACAAATTCCACTTCACATGGGACTGACCGAAACACAGTACGTTTAGCACTACGTAGCAGATTCTACAATTCGCCCGTTATTTCGTTCTGTAATTGTATACTGACCCTGTAACAGATTCTACGGGTATTTCGACCTGTGAAGATAGGCTGTATGGTTCAAAACTACTTAGTTCACCAATTACTTCCTCTGTCCCGCACATTATCGCTGGCTTAACGAAACCTTAACAACGGCCTGAAGGCTCTTGTCAAGTATACCTATCCACGCTGTTGGCCCGTATGGTTCCGGTTGCTCACTACTTTTGGCTCATTGCAACTTGAACTGAACTGCTCAATGCCAGGTCTCATGGAGCTCCAGGACCGTTTTCCTTATTTCGAACCGTAGGTTCATTCGGGCACCTTAAATAAACTTGAATAGCTCGGATCAGCGCGTCTCCCATGACGGTGTGGTGCATCTCGGTTACCTCTCTTGTAATACGTAACTGCTGGAAGGTTTCCATCAGAATTCGGTCAACATTTTTAGACCGTCGGATCAGGTATAGTAGTGTGGCTCTCACGTTACGGATGAGTCAGTCCTCCCATCCAACTGGAACTGAAGCACCATAAATGCAACCGAACACAAGTCGGATTCGTTTATTTAAAAATGATGCAAACTGTACACACACGCCTCCCCAAGCACCTAGACTCGGAGGATAACGAAAGGATCATAATGCATAATTCAACATCACATCCTGTTTGGCCAATTCCAACAACATGGGGTCGTCGAAGAATTTGTTGATGCTGACGTCCTCATTCAAACCCTGTAGAGCGAATACGAAGGAAATGTTTAGTTGTATGCAGATAGTGAGGTCCTCTGTTCTGTGGGACAATACCACAGCTGGTACTCTGGTAATTATTGGAGAACAGCGACACACAGGTGACT